GGAGGGGAGATAAAGACAACAGATGTTTGATAGGAAAGAAGGAGGGGAGATAAAGACAACAGATGTTTGATAGGAAAGAAGGAGGGGAGATAAAGACAACAGATGTTTGATAGGAAAGAAGGAGGGGAGATAAAGACAACAGATGTTTGATAGGAAAGAAGGAGGAGAGATAAAGACAACAGATGTTTGATGGGAAAGAAGGAGGGGAGATAAAGACAACAGATGTTTGATAGGAAAGAAGGAGGAGAGATAAAGACAACAGATGTTTGATAGGAAAGAAGGAGGAGAGATAAAGACAACAGATGTTTGATGGGAAAGAAGGAGGAGAGATAAAGACAACAGATGTTTGATAGGAAAGAAGGAGGAGAGATAAAGACAACAGATGTTTGATAGGAAAGAAGGAGGAGAGATAAAGACAACAGATGTTTGATAGGAAAGAAGGAGGAGAGATAAAGACAACAGATGTTTGATAGGAAAGAAGGAGGGGAGATAAAGACAACGGATGTTTGATAGGAAAGAAGAAGAAAACCACACCAGGGCACCCACCAAACAACCTACCCACTCTGAAAAGATAATTATTATGATCGCAGTATTATGCCATAGCAAATTAATCTGGATAGAGATCAAAATTATTTTATCTGATCTAAATTTCTACCTTATCTTGTCTTATCTTACCTTATCATACGATCAAATCATCTAACAATTCTCAACAAAACACTTAGCTGTGGCTGTGCATGGATTTGAGGCAAATCATTCATGAACATTAAAATTGCGGTAAAATTGAAGATTAGCAGACCACCTGCCGGGAATACATTTTTTGGCACCAAAACTGCCGCAAACTGGGCCTATCTAGATCTATCTATTATTTTTGTCACTTAAGTACTTTAGCAGGGGGTGAACCCCCCTGCACGCCCTTATCTACACCCCCCCCCCCCTTTTTACCGGAGTAGATCTAGATCTAGTGGTGACTGCTGATGTACAAAGAGGCCAAAATTGCTTCCCCTAAGATCAAACTCATCAGCTTCCTCTTAGTCATAATCAATATCCAAATCAAGACAAGGAATGACAAAGTACAGTTGAACTTACTACAACGGTCACCTGTCTAAGACAATCACCTGTACAACTGACTTCTTCACCTCTACCACTAGCGTTTGTCTGTTTACATTATACTGACTCCGTTCACAAACACTTTTCTCCTCAGAAATGAGTTGCCGTCTCGGACAATTTAGCGCGTATTACTTTCAATCAAACTAGATCTAGTCCACTAGAAGTTTTCAAATTTACAACCTCAGAACGAAAACTGCACTTCCAGTCATCACTGGTGAAACAATGAAATGGTATAGGTTTAATGCCCTTATCTTTTACTTTTTAAAAACTTTTTTCCGCCGCTTCTACCCTTTTGGCTGTCGCGGATGCCCTTATCAGCACGTTTAATATCCACCTCCTTTTTTTTTAGTTAGAGTATTACGGCACTTGCAACACAATAAGGACATATAAGTGTCGACGATTAGAGGCGTTACAAGAGAGTAACAAACACAAAACAGAAGGAGGGGAGATAAAGACGATAGATGTTTGATAGGAAAGAAGAAGCAAACCACACCAGAGCACCCGCCAACCACCCACTACCCACCTCCGAAAGAACCGAGCCAAATGGGAAATTTTTGTAAAGCGCCTATCCATCCCAAAGACATAACGTCGGACCGAGCTGAGGCTCGCACCCCCAAACTCACAACCTCGCGATTTTGGGTCAGGTACCCTAACCACTAGGCCATTGATGACACCAGTAACAATTAATTCACCAAACATTCACAACATCAACACCAATGACCCCAACACAAAAAGTGAAAAAAGGTTGACAGCAACGTGAATATTTCAAACATTTTGTGAGAATTCCAATCAGATGGCATGACTAACAACCAGCACTTATATCATTATTCAAATGGGAGCTTTCCACAGAACTGTCAAATTATACTTAACCCTATCCGTACGTCGTGTTTTACTATCGTATCCATACGACGTGGTGAACTCGATTGTGCCACCACTTTCCAAAGAGGAAATTTATTCATTAATCCAATCCATACGCTTTGCATAAGAGTCTGTCAAAATGATTTTTTTGAGAAATATAAAGTTCCAAAGAGATTTTCGTACTAGAAGTATTCTAAAATGTGCAGAATACAACCCCGGGGGTACAAAATGACCCCAGGGCGTACGGATAGGGTTAAAACAAAACACCGTAACCAAACTTTCCAAAGAGAACGCCAACTTCTCACCCCTGTGAGGTTTTGCCACAGGAACTGACCACATACATACCCACTTATAGGCCTACAACAGACAAACAGAGAACAGATCTTAAAAGGGAAGGGTTTTTTGGTTGGTATTTTTTTGTACTTTTCAATAGTTATTTGTTTGACACAATGGAAATTTAATAATAATAATAAAAATAATAATGATAATAATAATAATAAAAATAA